TTTTACTTTATCCAAACACTACAAAATGGCTTAAAAGCTATTTTGGCTTAAAAGCACTTAAAATAAGCCAATCCAAACGGGCTCATAATTGCATTGATGCGAAAATAGTTCCACTTCCGACAGCTCTATCTAACAACACTGATTTTAAAAAAAAGGCAGCCCGTTGTACCAAGCTCCCGCTATGCGCGGGATGCGGGGAAGGGCCGGACCACAAGGGTCTATTGTACGCAGCCTTACCCTGCATTTCTGCAAGAGGTTGTTTCCACGGCTCAAATCCGTGACCACATACCATTCAGTAAATAAGTATGTCATCATACCTTGGTGTCCTCATCCAAAGGAATGTAGGCCATTTCTTTGCAAGGATCAAACAAACTGTACTTCGCACTCTTACTGAAAATGTTCTGCATTGCACCCACATAGACAGCTGCTAGAAGAGGAGTCATCCCGAACTTGGCAAGAGCAGGTGCTAGAGGGGCACCAAACAAAATCAGGGAGAAGAATCCAATTCCGGTAAGGAGCAATACTGTAGGTGTTATCTTGGCTGCTGCTCCCCATCCATACTTGTCAAAGATCCACTGGCTTAACAACATCATTACGAAAGTTGCTATTCCAGTAGCAGTTGAGAAGTCACCCATGAACGACGAGTATTCATTGGGGCTTGGGAACTACACATTAGTGATAGGGAGAGAGACGGAATGAGACATGTTAAAATGAGAAACAAATCCGAATATAAAAATTTTAAGGAAAAAAGTAGCACTTAGTAATAATTCACCTGAGCTTTGAGCTTTGACTTCCATGTAACTTCGACAAGGTTGATACTAATACCATATGCTACAACCAACGTGGCAAGATTCCTGATATATTTTGAAGAGACCAAGAACTTCAAGCTCTCCATTGTGGTCATGTTAGGTTTTACCTGACAAAAGACATTAGTCAGATAATGCACATATGTAAACATGATTCTTTAATATAAAAGATCTGTGTATAATATCTGAATGGCATTATTGACAAATATTTTGAAAAGATTTAACCAGCAATGAATCGTCATTTTAGTAGAAGTGATAGACAAGGGACAAAAGGTGGTGCATCTGCTTCTCAAAAACAAATTGATGAAAGAGAGTGCTTTCTACTAGTCAAGCAAAAGATAATAAGTTTCTTCTACCATCAACTAGTTGCTTTGGAAAAAACTGTCGACTATAGCAAAAGCAATGGCATATGGTTTAGATAATTACCTTCTTCTTCTGGCTACGAGTGGGGAGAGGAACATTTCTATTCACCCACCAGTAAAAGAAACAGATTGCCCCACCCATCAACACTACAATACTCATCATCGCTTTCAGAGAGATGGCCCAACCATCAACTCCAGGACCCAAAGAGCTTCTCAGGCTAGAAAAGTACTTCACTGTACGACCTGAGAAAATCAGAGCAACATTTGCACCAAGTCCAAACAAAGGATAGAATCTCTTAGCCTCGTCAACAGTCGTAATCTGCAAAAGAAATCACTCAAAACACTTAAATAACAGTGATTTCCCCCACCAAAGCTCTACGGCGGGTGATTACATTGTCATAGGCATATAGATATGTTGACGATCATATTACAACAGGCAGCACAATAGCCAGAATGGTAACAGCAGGGAAACAGAATGAAACCTTTACAAATTTTGTATGACCAACTGCAACTGAAAATAAAATAAAGAACAGCAGACCAAGACATAAAACAATGAGAAAATGTTACTGCCAATATTTTAAGACAGTGTGACCACAACTGCACCATAAACAGAACCGTTAGCTAAGCCACCCACCATTAAAGGTAAGATTAANACCCAAAAAAAACCCCCACAATTAACATCAGGAAGACAGAGTATAGTAGCACATGTATCACAAATAGCAGCAAGCTGCAAACTACTCCTGGTATAAAGAGATTGTTTTTACCTCACAAAACTGAAAGCAGCAACCATCACACAAACAAAGAAGTGAAGTGCAAATATTAGCTAATATCAGAAGCTAACTAAACAGATCATCTACACAATAAGACTACAGCAACAACAACAACAACAATCTGAGTGAGTTCCCACAAGTGGGGTATGGGGAGGGTACTGCGCAGGAGGGTAGAGAGATTGTTCCCCGATAGACCCTCGGCTCCACACAATAATACTATGCAACCTAAAAATGGTTACTAATGCACAAAATATATTCATGAACACAAATTTACCTGATTAGCAAAACCCCAAAAGAGTACTGAAACCACCACACTTCCCCAAAGCTCAGCCATGACATAAAACAAGCAGAAACTCCAGATCCTCAGTATAGCAATTGGCCCAAGAAATCTTGGACCCAAAGAGTTGAGAAGTTTATCAGCAAAAGCTGTAGGGTGAAAGTAATTGCTAAGAGGATACAAAACAAACCCAAATGCCCCAAAGAATGCAATAAATGGAAGTATAACAGTGTAAAAAAGAGCCTCTTTTGACAACACATTGGCCAACTTTGTGTACAACAGCATGAACCCTATAGCCATAGGCAAATTCACCCAAGTTTTCAAGAATGGAATAATTTCAGCACTGGACCCTTTGGCTGTTACAACCAATACATCTTTTGTGTCCCTAAGGATTGTATAATTAAACAGAATACAAAAGAACATTGCCCCAAGTGGTATAATTTTCTTAAGGGTCACAAGTTCAATTCCCATGAACTTAGGTGGCTCTTTTTCTGCAAAAAGTGGCTGGCCATCAGCTGCAGCAGCAGCCTCAGCTTTACAAATTGGGAAAAATCTATTCTTTTGGCCAAAAAGCTGAGGCTTAGTGGTAAAGCATTGAAATTTTTGGAACCCATTTGAAGATAAAGATAACCCATTTAAGGGCTTAGGTTTTAGAGTATTTAAAGAATGGCCAGAATTTAATCTATGCCTTAAACCCCCTAGAGGTAACGGATAAAAAGCCTTGGTTTTGGGTTTTGAAGGCAAAGAAAGAAGTCCTTTTGTTTGTAAAACAGCTTCCATTTTTTAGCTCTCTCTCTCTCTTTTCCTTATCTCTACAAGTTCAAGAAAGGTAAAAGATTGAATCTTTTTAACAAATGAACATGAGAGATAAGGAGATAGAGAGGGATAAGGTTTTGGGGAAGAAGATGAAAGGGTCTGAGAGAGATATACAAAAATCTATTCTTTTATATATATATATATATATATATATATATATATATATATATGTATGTATGTATGTATGAATGAATGAAGAATCAAAACCCTGAAATGGGAAAGAAAAAGACAAATAAGGAAATAATGTAAGAGTTTGTTTAGGTAAACACTAGCTAATTGTTTAACAAAATTTGATAGTCAAGAAGAAAAGGGCAAAGGGAAAATCTGTGTGTCAGATTTGCAGTACGAAGATTAGATACTTGTATTCTTCAACTTGCACACTCTGTGCTATTAAATTACTAATAATATTCAACAAAAAAAGAAGAAATGTTAATCTAATGCTAAGCCGATGCACAAGGAAGACTTGGGTTGAGCAAGGTAGAAAGGATCCTCCCTATATATGCGAAATAATCTTATGAAAAAATGAACAAATGTTTTTTGATATAAAAAAAAAAGAAGCTTTTAACTCCATTTTTATTTATTTTATATACTATTTTTTGCTTCACTTTAAAGATATTGGCACACTCTTACTTTTAATATTTCTATTTGTATTCTTAATAACATATACCNGAAAAGGAATTTGTCCATTTTTCGGGGTCTCAAAGGGGCGTGGAAACGCATAAGAACTCTTGAATGGAAAAGAGATGTAACTCCAGTTCCTTCGGAATCGGTAGTCAATCCTATTTCCGATAGGGGCAGTTGACAATTGAATCCGATTTTGACCATTATTTTCATATCCGTAATAGTGCGAAAAGAAGGCCCGGCTACAAGTTGTTCAAAAATAGTGGCGTTGAGTTTCTCGACCCTTTGATTTAGGATTAGTCAGATCTATTTCTCGATGGGGCGGGGAAGGGATATAACTCAGCGGTAGAGTGTCACCTTGACGTGGTGGAAGTTATCAGTTCGAGCTTGATTATCCCTAAGNACGTGGTGGAAGTCATCAGTTCGAGCCTGATTATCCCTAAGCCCAATGTGAGTTTTTCTAGTTGGATTTGCTCCCCCGCCGTCGTTCAATGAGAATGGATAAGAGGCTCGTAGGATTGACGTGAGGGGGCAGGGATGGCTATATTTCTGGGAGCGAGTTCCGAGCGAATATGAAGCGCATGGATACAAGTTATGCCTTGGAATGAAAAACAATTCCGAATCCGCTTTGTCTACGAACAAGGAAGCTATAAGTAATGCAACTATGAATCTCATGGAGAGTTCGATCCTGGCTCAGATAGCCAAGTGTTTTTAATTTGGTTTAGAGTCGAGTGATGAAGCTCATGATTCTGCCGTTAGTGAGAAGTAAGTAAACTCTTTTTGAAAAAAGAAAAAAAAAGTAGTATTTGGAGTTAAGTTAAAAAGTGGTATTTAAAATTTAAAATTATATTTGGACGTGCATTTCACTTGAAAAAATGTTGCAGTTTTATGAGTGGGAAAAAAGGTTTTTTGAAAATTTTTAAAAAATGGTTTCGAAAAACTCATTTTAGAAAAATATTCAAAAACTTGCAAATTTTTCATGGACAAATGCATTTTTGAAAGAAAAAAAATTGAAAAAGAAAAAGAATTTTATAGACAAACGGAGCCTTAGTTTATGTGTCAAATATCTTTATTTTTTAAAAAATTTGGTGCACAACCAAACCATCATATAAATGAAACAGGAGAAGCAAAAATTGTATAACCTACCCACCTCCACATTAGCATTAAGAGCATATTTTATATCGGGAAAATAACAATTATTTTCTATCGCTGTATATAGAAATAAATAATTAATCTATTAATCCTTGTAATATAATCTTTGCATTAATTTATTCTCGAATCAAACTACCCCAAATAAAATCAAAGGAATTGTTTAAGTTGGCGGGGAGACACATCACTTTCAATAAATATCTGCTATTTCAGGATTAACCCCCTAAAGTCGTAATTAATATCAAAATGCCCCTCCTAGGAGATATTTCTCCTATAGCGACCTGTGTTTATTTGTACTCGAGCTTTTGACATGGAGATAGGCAACATGCTATAACCATAGGGTTAACATTGAACACGAAGCAACACTTTCCGCCTTTAAATTGAGATAAAATAAATTACTAACAATATTATTTTTTGTTTTTTTGTGAAGTTTTTCTATTTTTAAAAAATAGAAAATTCTTTTGTTATACTATCATAAATTATATGAATCTAGTAGAACATGATTTTTTTTTTGGATAAAATGTTGGAAGCTATAAATTTTCTTAGATTATAATAGGTGGATAACATATTTTAGATGTTGGTACTTTTACTGTAAATTTTATGTTTTATAGGAGAGGTTTAACCTTTTAGAGATTTAATATACTTAGAAAATATACAGAACTTTTAGTATTTTTTATTTATATTTGCATAATATTGGCGTGAGATGATTTGAATAGATAATGTGATCAGTGAGGATTTATATAGCCTGTCCAACATGATTGGGCTTTTGTTTGTCATCTTTGTTATACACATTTCAAAATGAGAGGGATTAAGATTGGAATTTTTACCTCCTATAACAAAGGTTAACACCTTATTTATTTTAAATAAATACTATTTTAAAAAATTATATTCTATAGATACATTTTAATGTTTATAGCAAAATATCTAATTTTGGTTACCTTCTAGCCTTAAGCCACTAAATACTCTATTCAGTTACACTATTTTCTTTCTATCTCTACTTTGATGCATGCTATTCTCTTCCCTCATTCCCTGAAAACACGATGCTCAATCTCAAAATTCCTTTCACCCACATCACCTACCATTAGTCAAAAACCCCACGCTCTCTCCTCTCTCTAACCTACTCCAATAATAATCGAAGGCCAATGAACAGCGAATTCTTGCAAGAGGAGGTGAGAGAAATACGTTGCGCTATAGGGAATGCTGGCTATATCGTCCCCAGTCATTAAGGAAGAGAAATTGACCTACCACCATGAGATTTCACAGCAAATGGCACACAACAGACTCCTCACTCTCTTCACTAGATTTGGTGAAATCTGGTGCCGATAAACTATTACGCAGACTGGTGTTGAAGTTTGGCAAAATGCCAAAGTCCCACATTGGTTGGGAGTTAAGTTTGGGGGGATTTT